GAGTTTGAGCTCTGAGCAACAGCGGTTCGAGTCCAGCCCGAGCTGAGCAGCCGCTGAGCTGCCAACAGGTAGCAGGATGGCTCAGCTAAAAAAAAAAACACTTTCCTGTTGTTATGTAGGGAAATCATTAGCAAGGATCCATTATTTTTATATCCCACTAATGTATTAACTATTTCTACATTCCTACCTAAAATGTTTTTTGCCTTATGTAAGTAAACACAGTAGCAGAGCCTACTGGTTGCCTACTCAACATCCATTCTATGTCCTTCTATGTCCTTCCTACCATCAGGAAGTCAGGCTTTGACATTCAACTTCTTCCGTGTAGCCATGTGCTTGAGGGGAGGTTGACAGGTCTAAACCAGTTATGGTTGGCCCCATTTCATTTTAAGTGACTCTTAGGAAGACAGGGGGACTACATGCCCACTCTTTTCATCATTCTGTTTACTTGCTATGATGTTATGCTTCAGATAGCTAAGCCTTTGAGACCATGAGAAACCTAGCCTGTAGACAAAGCTGAGACCCAAAGATGACAGAGTGAAATATGAGAATATCATGGGTGCTTGATTATGTTTTTGAGCTAAGCTGCTGAATTCTGTAGTCCTGGAGTCGTCCTATCTCTGGATTTTATTTTTAATTGCTTCACTTTTTCTTTTGTAAAGTCCCTGATATTAGGAGACTATTCACAAAGTAAATAAACAGAATTAAGCACATTTCCTTCTTCATCTTTATAGTACAACAATTGTGCATTATTTTCTGGCACAGAGAATCATTGTAGTCAGCTGGTCTGGTCTTTTTGATTGGAGGTAATAAATTTTTTTAAGACACACTCTGTTTCGTTTTATACACTTATCCAAAAGCATCCTAACAACAAACATAATTTGCAAATGTTTTCTCTCTTCCAGTCCACTGTTCATTTCTGTAACGTGCTATTTCATGCATTATTTCACAGGGTACTATTATAGGGAGTATTCATAAAATATTGAAACATTATAAAAATCAATGTCAATTCTTTTGATGCAAATTAAGGAGACTAAAACTTGTTTTCTGGAAGAAAACCAAATGACCAAAGGCAATTCTAATATTATCTACAAGTCATCAAAATTCTAAGTCACAGGCCGGCGAGTGGCACATTGGTTAAGAGCTGGCTTGGGACGCCAGCTCTGAGCAGCAGGGCTCTGTTTCGGATCCCACATGAGGGCCAGTGATGCTGTGCCTTCTACAGCTAAGATGGTGAACAACAGCTCGACCTGGAGCTGGTTTGCCATGAGTCGCCGTCTACGGCGCAGGCTGCAGTAGGGCTGCAGTGGGCTTCCATAAGCTACCGTGAGTGGCTGGCAGCCAGCGTGAGCAGCCGGCAGCTGGCATGAGTTGCCAAGAGCTGCCATGAGCAGCCAAGGTCGGCGACCAATCTGCCTCACCCGGGAAGAGCGCAATGATAATACCAACATGGGCCAGTGAAGCAACGTCCTCCACAACTAGACTGAAGAACAAAAGGACAGCAACTTNTATTGCACTGTGTTGTACAGCTGAAACTAATTCTAAAAAATGTGTATTTCATAATAATAATAAATAAATAAATAAATAAATAAATAAAAATAAAGAATGATGAATGGGAGCAGGCACTGTTACAAATCTATCAGTTCTCTCCCAAATTAATCTACAAATTGTGTACATTGCCAACCCAAACTTGATGTATTTATTCTAACATTTGACAAGCTAATTCTACAAACCAAATGAAAGAAAATCTGCACTAACAGCCTCAAGAATATTGCAAAAGGCAAAATGAGGAGAGAAATGTGCTACCAGGTACCAAAACATACCAAAAAGTTAAGCATATTAAAAGTGTGTGAAAACAAATCAAGGAAATCAGGAGTTCAGAAACAGATTTATATGTAGGGATTTAGCCTATTAAGTAACGACATTTCAAGTTGGTAGAAAATTAAGAATATTCCATGAGTGCTCTTGGATCATTGGATAATCACGGCTAGATGAAAGGAAAGCAAAGTTTATGGTGTCTGCCAGCCACATTAGAAAGAAAAAATGTAAGTGAAAAAGTCAAGAGAAGATGACATACAGGTGGTTACTACAAACACAACTGAACAGCAGGATCAGTAGTAGATTTAATGGGAGGATCCAAAATGCAATTGGAAGTTGTAACATAGGATGGCTGAGGGTTGCAGTGCCCCTGACACTGTGAGAGAAACAAGAAGAGTTGCACGTTCACTGAAGAAAGTAAATGACATTATAATCTAATGTCTGATACAAGAATGGCGTCACTTTGTCTTCTGACCATTTACTTTAGGAAATACAGGAGTTAAAATCTAAAAAGACTTATTGCTCCCAGAAGGTATTTTATTGCTTAACCTATGCAGTGTTGCTATCTGGCCTTAACAAAATAATATAACACTTTGGAGCAAAGATGCAGCCTCGTAATCCAGCGCTTGAAGCCAAGATGGAGAAGATCTCCACGGCCACCATGACCTTGCCCTTGGTGCTGTGGTAGACGGGGAGGAAGGCGACCCAGGCATGCTGAATGTCAGGAACTTGGCTTCATTGAAGGTGTCAGGCAGGTTCCGGGCCAGGAAAGCCAAGGAGAAGCTCCCCAGGGCCAAGGAGCCCAGGTGTCCCAGGACACAGTAGAAGGCAGTGACCAAGCCCTTGTTGCACACGATGATGATGTTGCCATATTTGGAGTGTACATCTATGTCAATAAAGGGAGAAGAGCCTCCTAGCCAGACTTCACAGAGAGTCAGCTGGGTCAGGGAGCAGATGGGAAGGATGGAGTTAAGTACCCCTGACACCAACTATCGCCTCATCCTTCCCCCTGGTGCAGTGACCTTGAAGGCCAGAACCACAGTAATATTTTGGCCAATGCCATGGAAATGGTTATAGTAAAAACAACTCCAAATGTCATTTGTTGAAGAATGCAGGTGGCTGTGTTGGGCCGGCCGATGAAGAGTACGGAGCAGAGGAAACAGAAGGCGAGAGAGATGAGCAGGACGTAGCTGAGAGTCTGATTACTGTCCTTGGCAATGGGAGTTCTCAGCGCCTCACAAGGACTCCAAGGACCACACCTGTGACAACAGAGAACCAAACAGCCATGCGAGCCACGGTCATTCCTACAGAGTCTTCAAATTCCAAGGATGTTACGACTTTGGGCAGGCAGCGATTTCTCTCATTGTTTGGATACTGGCTTCCTGGACACTCTGTACATTGATCTTCTATCTGAAAAAATAGCAAGTCTCAGTGTTTCTGTTTCAGCCATTCTTCCCTCTTCCCAAGACACACACACACAGACTCACACAGACACAAAAAATATCCCTTCTGATGTGGTTATCAGACACAAAGTTACAGAGACATTACATTAATAAATTTTCTCATGAAAACAGATGATGTTTTATAGAATTGTATGCTTGAAACCTATGTAATTTTACTAACCAATGTCACCCCAATACATTTTTCTAAAAGTATAGTTCTATATCAGAATGCTTTTAGCTTCAAATAATAAATAAGTCAACTGCAAAAAGTCCAATATTTGGGTGGTGTGTTAGTTGCATTTTCCCAAAAACTTGAGGACTCCAGGGCAAATAATGTATGTGATAGGGGGTCTTGCAACACACCAGCAAGGAAGTGGGAAAGAGACAGGGAAAGGAAGCAGCACATCATGGATGTCAAGTATTTAACTGGTGTGGTCAGCTAGCGCTTAGTGGACTGTGAGCCAGGAAGAACACATGCCTCAGAGTCCTCTCAGATAAGGAGGGAGGCAGCTGCCACATGTCCCACTTCTCACTACCTCCACTCACTTCCACCCTGGTCGGAGCCATGATATTTTGCCTGGATGAGTGCAGTAGCATCTCATGGAAGACAGCCTCCAAGATAGTCACCAATGATCCCTGACTTATTATTCAACAATGTGCCTCAGCTGTCAGTCAAGGATATGAACGCTCTGTCAGTATTTCTCACAATTTTTCTGTAAAGGGACAGAGAATAAACATTTTAGCTTTGTGGGACAAATGGCCTCTGCCAGGACTATTCAACTCTCACCTTGGAGCATGACACAGCCATTTTTACTGTTGAAAGTTGGCTTTCTTTTTCTCATTCCTATTTCTAAAAATAATATTAGAACAACCCAAGTACCATAACTGTAGCTGTTCCTTTTGAATTCTTTCTCTATAGAAATCTAGTTTGATTTGTCTAACTTGATTTTTGTTTCTTAGTAACATGCTTACATTCAAAGTAAATCCCTTTGATAAAATGATTTGAATTACATTAAAGCTAAAAATTACTTACAAAGCGATAATGAAAAAAAATAAAATGAAGCAAGCATTGCTAAGAGAAACTTAAAATGGAGTTGGAGGCTATTAGGGAAGTGGGGCCTCTGCACATCTTACACCCCAGTTCCCAGAGCTACTCTAAAGATGCTAACCTGTTGCTAAACTCAGCTCAGGGTGGAGACACAAATGTCCTGGAACAACCACTGCTAGGTTGGACCTGTGGCTGACCTGTGGATTGACCTCTTCCTTGTAGTTTTCGCCCTCCACCCCGCACACACACACCCCAATTTTCATATTGAAACTAACTAAGCCCTGTTAAGCCAGCCAGCAACCCTTCATTTTCAGGAAAGAGTCACACTTTGTGGGTTTTGCTTTTACAAACCTGCCTTTCTTTGTTGTCTCTGGAGCACAGTGTAGTTGCTACTGGAATCTGAATCTCCTGGGCTGCAACTTTTCTGCTCAAATAAATGCCTCTTGTTCTTTATTACAGCTTGAACTTCTTTGATTAACAAAAACTACAGACTTTAAGTATTCAGACATTCCATTTTAAAAAGTTAATGGAGCTATGTTTACCTATTTTCATTTACATTTCTCAAACACATTTTCCACCAAAATTAAAACCATTCTTTGCATAACAAACATGAGCTGCCTACTCAGCATACCCTTCCTCTCTTTTACCTGGAGAGAGCCCTTGTTTTGCTTGATCTAAGCTAATTGTGACAAATCTAAGCTAATTTTTGCCAGGGTGAGCTCTGCCTCCCTTCTGGGTTGATGAGCCACGTAACCTAAACCAAAGGCAAATTGATCGTATGGTCTTTCTCTTGCACTGAAGAAAACCTGCATCAAATAGGATGCTCCCGATGACTCTTCCACTCTCCTGTCTTGCATGTGGATAATGTGCGGTGGGAGGCACTTGTAAAAATAAGATCCAACACACTAAGTACTTTAAAGCAACCATTATACAGAGCCTGGGTTTTTGCTATTAATAGGTTGAGCAAAGGGAAAAAAGACTGCATCAGTCTATTTTTTGAATTCTAGTAACATAATAACAAATTTCAATTTTAGTCTTTCCCTTACTTTCAGCTGAACACATCTTAACTAATGGACTTTGTGCCTTACATTTTCATATTTTGTGAATGAGAAATAAGATGTTAACATTGCATTATCAAACACTTTCCTGGGCCGGCCGAGTGGCTCAGTTGGTTAAGAGCTCGCTCAAGAGTTTGAGCTCTGAGCAACAGCGGTTCGAGTCCAGCCCGAGCTGAGCAGCC